TCTGGACAGCGCTTGATCGTATGCGCTTATTCCAGCACCAAGACACGATCGTATGCAGTGTCACCCATGCAGGACGAACTGACAGGAACGTCCATGGAATGCCACCGTTTTTCAATAGTAAGCTGTACTTCTCCTGAGTATGATCACTCCGCCCAAATCGCCATCACGTGCCGACACGACAGGCCGTATCGCAAGGAACGAGAGGGAGCGGTCTTTTGGAGACTGTATGCTGCTATGTATGCGGCGAACTTCTGGCTTTTCACGTGGCAGCCTGACAGATGTGCACGGTCGGCCACCCTGTATCTTTTCGTATCATATTGTGCACGGAGTCATCGACATGTCCATGATGCGGTTCACCTCGTCCTTTTCGTTGCTGATGTTGTTGTGAAGTCACCGATCCTAAACGCACTTTTGCTTTTGCTTCGCATCGACCAAAGCAACTCCAGCGACCAACATGCAGCTCTTCCGCCTCGTTGCACTCCTCCCGCTCCTCTTCCTTCTCGAAGACGCGAGCGCGTACCGCAAGACCAAGGCGCCGCCGTCGGGCAACGGCGAAGAGACCAAGTCGATCAAGACGCTGTACGAAGAAGCGCTCAAGGAAGGCGGTAACCTCGTCGTGTACCATGGCGGTGACCATGCGCAGCAGCAAGACTACGTCGCCGACGCCTTCCGCGCCGCGTTCCCCAAGATGAACCTCACCATGGTCGTCGACTACAGCAAGTACCACAACGCGCGCATCGACAACCAGCTCGAGACCAACTCTCTTGTCGCGGACGTCGTTGCGCTCCAGACGCTCAACGACTACCCGCGCTGGAAGAAGCAGGGCAAGCTGCTGCCGTACAAGCCCAACGGCTTTGGCAATGTCTACAAGGGCTTTACGGACCCCGACGGCAACTGGCTCTCGCACGCGGTCTTTACGTTTAGTTACTTTTACGACGAGGCGTTGCTGCAGAAGAAGGGACTCTCGCCCCCCGCGACGGCCAAGGACCTCGCCGACCCCAAGTACGCCGGTCTCATCGCGTCCGCATACCCGCACGACGACGACGCGACCTTGTTCATCTACGACCGCTACGTCAAGGCGTACGGCTGGGACTGGGTCAAGAAGCTCGCCGCGCAGCAGATCGAGTTCAAGCGCGGCTCGCACACGCCCGACCTCGCGGTGACGGCGCAGCGCAAGGCGATCGGCGTCGCGGGCTCGGCGCCAGCGACCAACTCGAGCTCGATCAAGGAGATCACGGGCGCCAACGCGTCGTCCGACTACCTCGCGTGGGGCCAGCGCATTGCGATTCTGAAGAAGGCGCCGCACATGGCCGCGGCCAAGCTCTTTGTCAACTGGATCGTCTCGAAGGAGGTGCAGTCGAGCCTCATGGCCGGCTTCTCGTCGCGCACGGACGTGCCGCCGGCCAGCGGCGTGCAGCCCTGGGACATCAAGCGCGCCAACTCGGTTGCGTTCCAGACGTGGATGGAAGACCGCGCCAAGATTGAGGAGCTCAAGGCCACGTTTGCCTTGTACTTTGGCGAAGTCACGGGCGAGCCGTCGCCGGGCCAGCTCGGTCTGCACCCAGGCAAGTAAGTCGTTGATCGATGTGTCGCCCGATAACATGACAATGTGTGCGTTTTGATGATGGTTGGTGCTGGGATTGTCGCATACGACGCGCTGGGTATGGCGCGAGCGTCGGAGTGTGGTTGCGCCCCAACCTGTGGTTCAAGTCGTACTCGAGCGGTCCATCACACAACGACGTACTAGTATACTTATACTTATAGTACTCTACTCGAGACCACCTTTGCAAACGTCCACTGCCTCTCCAGACAATATGTACAATGCACACACAACATGTACGAGATAAACTCGGATGATGTTCAAGCGAATCGAAATCGCTTGACGATCTTGTCACGACGACGTGGCAGGCAACAGCGCTGCCACGTCAGTGCTCGGCGCCAGCATCGAGTAGTGGCGGTGCTTGCGCTGGGACTCGGTCTCAAAGATGACACCATTCGTGAGCAGGTGGATCACAATTGCAACCAGGTGCCGGCCGTACGTGATCCCGCCATCGTAGTACCAGGCCAACGGCATCTGCAAGCGCAGCAAGATCGCAATCACGTCGGCGGGCGTCGATCCAAACACGTCCTTGCACACGCTCTTGAGCGTGATATGGCGGCGGAAAAAGGCCGGCAGCGGCACCTCGTCGCGGGCGCACTGCGCCGGCAGCATCGTCGTCACGTCCCAGTCGTCGACCGAGACGACGAGCCCATGGCGCTCGTACGGCGCGCAGAACGCCACGAGGTCCTTCCACACGCGGCGAAACGGCAGCGCAGCATCGACCTGTGCCTGCGTCACGCCAGTCAGCGAGAGGCAGAGCGGGTCCAGCGGCGCCGTATACGTGGCCGGCCGGACGTACGCGTGAAACTCGGCGATTGCCGTCTGCTGCACGACCGAGACGACGATGGCGCGGACCTCGATGATCTCCTTCTCGTACCATGGCACGTCGAGGCCGCAGGTCGCCTCGAGGTCGAGCACGACCAGCCACACGTTCGGCTCGAGCTTGGGGTTGGTACCCATCATATCGGGTGCAAAAGGGCGTGGCGTGGGATTGGCTGTTGGAATATAGACGTGGCGTTGATTGGTGGAATGGACACGTAGCCAGCGAATCACAAACGGGACAACGACCCAGCGCATGACGATCGTCGTCTGGGGCGCATGCAGTCGCTTGAAGCACTCGTTCGCCCGATGCGCATGACGCCGGCGGTAGCTTATTCACATTGCAGTGTATCAAGTATGTAATTCCATGTCTTCAAGATGCTGAATTGGATTGTCCCAACTGACTACGTACGACGCTGTCGGGGCTGCCGAGTGACGCTGGTATGGACAAAGTCGTGGCCGCCTTCCAGCATGCGCAAGACGATTGCGGCAATGTTGCGCGTGTCATCAATGCCCGAGTGGTGTCGGCCCACAAGCGGCAAGCCCAGTTTTTGGAGCATCTCGGTCATGCCCCGCACACGCGTGCCTCGCCAGTCGCGGAATGCAAACTTGATGTTGACCCAGCGCTGATAAGCGTCGGGGATCGTAGCGCCGCTGAATCGACACTGCGTCGGCAGCATCGCGTTGAGGTCCCAGTCACCGCACGTGACAAACAGTCCGTCTTCGAGGTACGGTGCGCAGAAATCAATTCCCTTGGCAGAAAGCCTGGGCGTCCCGATAGACGTTGAGAAAGGTGGGTGCGCCATCGACCACCGCTTGGGTGATGCCCGTGAGCGAGGTGCAAAATGGAGCCAAGACACCGCCGTGGCACGTCGGTCGGATATACGAGTGAAACTCGGCAACGATGGTTGCAGCGACCACATCGATGACAACGACGGGCCATTCGATGATCTCCATTTCCTCTCGGGGCAGCGTCTCCCTGCACGTCGCTTCAAAATCCAGCACGAGGAGGTACTGGACGCCCATGCTGCGATGATGGTTAGGTTGCTGCGAATCGGACAATGTGCATCTATTACTGTACCACTGCGGACGATGTTGGTCGTGTTTGTGGAGGGCCACCTTGTTGAATCTGCACGTTCTCTTCCTCTCGGAACGTTCTCTCTGCACGGTCTCTCTCTTGTGATGTTTTCCAACACTGTACGCGCTGTTCGATGCCGTGATTTATACTCGTAGCTAGCCAGCTACATACAGAATTGGTATCGAGTTGACACAGCTCTAGCGCGGTTGGCTTTCCTTGACCCGTTCCAGTGACTCGCTGTGTTGGGCGGTTGGCGACTGGTCCTCACTCGGTGAAGCGCTCTTACCTTGACGAGGTGTACATTGCAAAATGGCAGAGTGAACTTAGCCACGTCGAACGTACTAGTCGCGCTTTTGGCTCCAGCTCGAGTGGATGGAAAACGAAACGTGTTGAGAATTACATCACACGACAGCCAGCGTCATTGGTGTTGTTGTTGGTCATACTGCGTCGTGGGCGTGACGCTGCGGTGCCCTCGCGTCGCGGCAGCTGTGGCCGAATTTCTGGTTGGTTGCCAATCGCTTGGCGCTGGGCGCGGAGCTGCTGCTGCTTGTAGTACGCCTCTGCCTCCCGCTGGAGTCGGAGCTCGTCGTCCGTCATCTCGAGCGGGTCGACACTCACGCCCGAGAGCATCGGTGGCACCGAACGCGGGCTTGGCGGTCGACGTGGCGACGGCGGCCGTGGCGCTGGCTCGGGCACCGCGCCTTTTGCCATTCGGTTTTCTTCTTCTTGGAGGCGCAGCGCCATGAGATAGTCGGCACTAGAATCATATAATTTCTTAGCCCATATCATCGCCCGATCGTACTCGTCCTCTGAGATCATGGGCGGCGTCGGCTCGGCGGGTTGCGGTGCCAAGAGCGCTTGCTGCTTCGTGTCGCGGGCAACGACCGGCGTAAACGCGCACGTAAAGTACTCGCTGTCGCCGTCAATCTCGTCGAGTTTTCCCAAATGACGCTCGGCTCGTCATAGTAGCCAGCGTCCGTGGCGAGGAGGTAGAGCGCGCCATGAATCTACAAATGCATCAGCATCATGCTCCTCACGACAATAGTCTCCATCTTTTGAAACATAGAACTACCTTGAAGATGGTCGAAAAGTGATTGTTGCGGAAAAACACGGCCAGCTCCCGCTCTTTGATGCCGTCTTCGTGCAGCAAGACGAGGCCGGCAAACGTGAGCTGGTTGGCGCTCTCGGCGAGAAATTGCTCAATGATCGGACCGTCGTGCTGGACCTGCTGGACCTTGGCGACTGCGTCCTCCATTGAGAGCGACCGCTCCTTGACCATGGTGGATGCGGCGGCGCTGCTGTCGTCGCCGACCGAGTGGTGGTCAATCACCGTCTCGATGATGTGGTTGTACGACTTGGTGCCGATGACCGAGGCCGTCGCCACGTCCTGCGGGTCGACGACCCAGCCGTGCACGAGGCGCATCGCGAGCAAATCAAAAATCGCCAGCGCGCTCGTGTACTCGAACGCGTCAATCGCGTGGAACTGAACGTTGACGTCCAAGCCGACGTGCAGCGACGGAATGAGGTCGACGACTTCCTGGACGGTCGCCTTCTCTGCCTACACCCCAGAGCATCCTGAAAGGAGAGATGCGAAGAAAATCTACCTCGGAAAAGTGGGCGTTGGTCGCGAGGATGCGCTGCTGGACCAGCTCCATGACATCGCGCGCGTACACGTAGCCTTGGCCAGCCGGCGTCGCCCGCACACACGCGTCAAGGTGCAAATGGCCCCGCAGCAAGAGCACGTTGCAGATCGCGAGCAGCGGGCACGGACCGTTGACGTTCTGGCAAATGTACAGCACGTCGCGCTGGAGGAATTTCGTCCGCTTGACCCAGTAGATGCTGTCGGGCTTGGCCTTGGGAGACGACCGAGGCGATGTCCGAGGCGATGCACCGTCGCTTGGTCTCGGCGCCGGCGCGGCTGCTGTCGGCGATGGTCGCTTCGCCTCGTCGTCCACTGTGATCACCGCCATCGTCGTCATCGCCTGGTCGAGGTGGGTCGTGTCGATCGCGCTGGCCGGCGATCGTGGGCTCCCGCGCGCGGCCACGTCACCATCGGCAGCAGACTCTGCTTCCGCCCGAGGGCTCATCACGTCGGTCATGCAGACGTCGACCTCGGTGAGGTCCACCGACGCGGTCGGGTCGTGCTGCATCTTGTCCGTTGCGCAACTCCTTGGAAAAATGAAGAAGCGATCATAAGTTTGAGGTTGGTTTACACTTGCTATTTGTATGGGACATGTCCTGTGAAATAAATTCGACTCAATTACCATAGAAAGCTCAATAAGAATGATTTTCTTCAAAATGCCTTGTTTGGCGGCTCCATCAGCCTGATTAGGCTCCAATTATCTTTAGGGTGTCAGAAAAGGACGTGAAATAGGATATTGAGACAATAGAGACGGTACTGAGAAATAGTACCGGTGCTGATGGCCCGAACTCTCAGCGAACGAGCGCGGGCAAGCGAGAGCTACTCGGGAGTGGGACCGCGTGCGTCTGCTTGGCGCCTCCGCAGCCACCAAGAGGTTGCCCTACTGCACGGTACGCGTTGGCGTGCAGTCTCTCCGGAACCGAATGAGCCCCAGGTCTCTGTCATTTAATATCGTTGCGCGATGCAATATGTAATGATAGAGGTCAATAAGACGCCAAATAGTGTGTTTATGGGCATCGAGTGCAAGAAGGCAGCGCAATGGTGCACTCCATATCGACGACAACTATATCCATGCATATATCGATCTCTCGGTAGCAGGTCACACAAAGGCACCTCTTCCCCACCCTCTAGCGATGCCTGTATCACACTATAGCTTGGCACTGCTTTCGTTGGTAGATAGTGTGATCCCAACATGGTGTGATCCTACCACGTGCGTGCGTCGACTTGGGTGCATAAAAAGCGGCTGGTCCACTCACGGGATATAGTGTTGCGTATCGTCGCCGCTCATTGGTCAACGCACTTTCGACGTTCGCAGTGACTGACGACGACCATGGTCTTTGACAAGACGTTCACGGTGGCGACGCGGCCCGCGGCCTCGATGGCGCTGCAGACGGCGGCGCTGCAGGTAGCCATCCTGTCGCCTCCAAGCGGCTCACGCAATGCGTGTGTAGAGCATCCAACGCGTGGCGGGCAATGCCAAGACGCTCAAGGACCTCGCCGAGACCTTCCTCGCCGACTTTGAGGCGTCGCAGGGTCATGGCTGGCACGTGATCGTGGGCAAAGACTTTGCCGTCGACGTGCGCTACGTACGCTCGTGTCGTCTTCTCCTGCTGGTGATGCTAACGATGTTGTAGCGCAAAGGCTGCGCGGTGATCCTCTTGCACAAGTCGACGAGCACCAAACTCGTCTTGTACCGGGCGACGCACACGTCGGCGACGCCCAAGCTCAGCGCTGACGTGCCTGCGACTGGGGCGCCTGGCCTGTACGTAGTGGCGTTCTTTCCTTGCTGCTGGTGAGTCTCACGCTTGCATCGATGCTTGTAGGAAGAGCACGATCATGGAGTCGGACATGGCTCCCAGCCATGAAGCGGCGCTTGTCCGCATGTGCGAGCGTCTCGTCGGCCTCAACTCGACCGAAGACATGGTCGCCGACCTCAAGGTATGGCTAATATGGATGCCATTGAACCATACTTTATCGCAACCATGTCGTGCAGGCGTACCTGGTGCAGAGCTATGGCAACACGTGGCACGTGGCGGTCGCGGCCAACCACGATCTGTGTGGCGCTGTGCACGCAACGCCGGGCACGTACTGCGATCTGACGCTGACGAAAGGCAAGCAGTGCACGCGCTTTGTCGTCTTTCAGAGCTCGGGCTTTGACGCGACCGTCGACTTGCTCACGCTTCTGCACCGCGTCGCGCTCGTGGTCGCGATGATGGCCGGCGTCCTCTTCCTCTTTTACAAGACGAGCTACCGCGTCGAGTGCTTGGACGAAGCCGCGTGCTCGGCCAACGAACACCGCGTCGCCAAGTCGAGCGAGTGGTGGCAGTTTGTGACGACGCTGGCGGTCGTTGCGTTGATTGGCCTTGCGTCTGTGCTGCGCATGAGCCGCAACACGATCCGGCAAAAGATCAAGCACGTGTAGAGTCATTGTCGACGATAGATAAGATGCATCACCAGTACGAATAACTGCACATGCGACGTTGGTCGACGTACTTAGTCTGCGGCTGCGAGCATGGTGCAGTGGATGGGCGTGGCAATTGTACCATGCGACGGCCGCATCGTCCAAGAGAATGGAGCTATGCATGCATCGCTTGGTGCCGCATATATCGCATGGAAGACTCGCGCGGCGATGTCGGAGCTAAAGATTGCTGTGCGTGTGTTCGTGACGTACCGGTAACCGCCTGCTGCCAGTGGCAGCAGCCTGCCACCGCCCTGCAAATGCGAATCCATATGCCAGCTGGTGCGTGCAACATCAAGTATCTTTCCGGTTACGTAGCTAGCACGTGTGTAGCTAGACAAACTGGATTTCTTAGTCTAGAACCACGACTTCTTACGGATAAAGATATACGATCGACGCGTCATGGCTAGCCAACGTTGCTTTGGGCGATTTGTTCCGGTACAATAGTAGACCAGTAGACCCTGCAGTAGACCTCATAGAACGTAGTGCCAGAACCTGGCGCTTCAATGCACGCCGTGTGCGAGAGACCGCTGCTGCCTTTCTGTGCATGCATGCAACAACCGAGCGCTTTGAAACGCTTCAAAGCGTCTGCGGCCGAGGTGCGCGAACTTGAACGTGCACAACGCAGGGTCCGACGCTTCCACATTCGCGCATCTGGGCTGCAGGTCATTTCTTTTATTGCATACAGCATTTCAATAATGCTTTAGAATATCCAATACAAACAATGAGTTCGAGTGGAATAAAAACAACAATATTATGTAATATTATGCTTGCGATTTGGTGCATCGACAAAGGGCAGTGCACAGAAACAAAGAAGTCAGTAGGGCAGTCCGAGGTCCGCTTCGAAAGGTACAATCCGTTCTTTTGCGCCTGCGTGCCTATTACCTGCCATGTCTTGGAGCTTGGCCGAGCGCTCGACGACAGTGAAGCGGCTTCTGGCCAGCCTTCCTCCCAACGAAGTGGAGCAGTCGACTGAGGGCCGCATGAAGGTCTACCATGTCAAGGCAGCGAAGCTCTCGGACGCCCTGCTCGCGCATGAGTGCAGGGCGTCCGAGAGCTGCGCTGCCTTGACACGGTAGATCTTCATACGGCCCACAGTCGACTGCTCCACTGGAGCACCGGCCAGAAGCCGCTTCACGGCCGTCGAGTGCTCGGCCGCCCCGTAAACAACAGACATGGCCGCGCAGAACGCGTTGGCGTTGATCTTGTCGTCGTCGGCCCCAAGAGCAAGGCCACGCCATGCCGCGCGTGCAGCGGGCGTCAACTTCTCGGCTATCAAAAAGCAGTCGACGGCGCCGTCGAGCCCGGCGACCAAGCTGCAGGACATGGCAGGCAATAAGCACGCAGGCGCAACGCCCAAGAAGCGCACGTATGTTTTCATATGTGGGCATCGCCTGGCACAAACCGGTCGCCATAGGACGCTGCCGACACCCGCAGCCGCGTCGCCTCCGCTCAAGCGCCTCATTGTACGTCGCCTCATTTCCAATCCGATGGAATCATTCTTGCACTAGAACTTTTTGTACGCGTCGCCACTTGTGGTGTCAGGGCAAACTTACAGACATCTCGGTACTGCGTTTCGTCCATTGACGCGGCGGCGCATGCATACGTGACAGAATATCAACGTGGACGAAGAGCACGACGCGATCAAGAAAGGTCTGGTGGCTGCGGCAAACGACGACGACGCCGCCGGATCGCGACCGCTACGAAGACGCTGTGAGCGATTTGCAACGAGGGTTGTTGTGGTATTACCGGGTGACGAGCCTACACAACACATCCGTGGTGACAGATCGGGCGATACGAAGAACGCCCCAGCGTCGCGTCGCTGCTCTCGTGTCACTCGCAGGCCATCGGTACCACGTCGCATCGTTCTCAACCTACGAATGTCCCGCCCTAGGCGAAGCCCTCGTCGCCGTCAAGCACGTGGTTGCTGTTGCGCAAGAAGCCGCGATTCTTAGCGGGGCAGTGATGCTCTTCGACGCGTAGGCCGCGCTCCATGGTCTCGCTCTGAGCGATATACGAGTAGGGCCTTCTACACACTCTTTGCGAGTGGGCATTCGGTCGCGATGAGTGTCGAGCAAGGCCGAGCTGCGATTCGCACGTCGTCAAGCCCCAAGATTCGAGCGGTACGACGCCAACGTTGACGTATCGCAAGGTAGTACTACACCACTACATTCGATATAGTGCGCGGACTCGATTTTGCTGCTGCCCCATGGCGGTGAGCACGACGCGATCATTTTCCCGACCATGTTTCCACCGTCGGCCGTCGTTGCCAACCCGTTTCCACCGCGTCACGCCAACAACCTCCTGTGCGAGCTGCGGGTGCGTTTTTTCTATGAGAGCGCACGTCTCTTAGGTGGACATAGATGTACAAGGAGCGCAACTACGAGGAGTTTATCGTAAGCACAAGTTGTGCAACGATTCGGGTCACGACGATAGCCTAGATTGCCTCGAGCCTCAACGGCAGGAATGGCGCGGTCTGGGTTCACGGCCCGCGCGGCGCTGGCAAGACCCAAGTGATCAAGTCGGCGGCCCGCGCCATCGAGCTTCACGGCAATTTCCAGTTCGGATGCAAGTTTGTCCACGTGGGCCGTATGGCACAAGACCATGCTTGCGACGACCCGGCGACCTTGGCGTTGGACGTCACGCGGCAGCTCGTGGCCGACGTTGAGGCGTGGTTTGCCAAAGACGATCTGTACCAACACCGCGACGTTGCATTTTTACATGTTGTATGTCGTAGGCCTTTCCTCGATGCCAAGGCGCTGCTGGTCCTCGATGGTGTCGACGCCGTTTCGGAAGGTCCATCCTTTCTCGAGTGGCTTCCGCGCCTCTGCGAGGATAACGCCATGTTGTTCCTAATAATTTCATCGCGCC